ACCTGGGTGGTTCAGTGGGTTAAAAACAAATGACATGATTTTAAAAGTCTGAGGGGTTGTACTATGTATAGTCTAGTGAAAAAGGTTCTGGTAGTTTTACAAGATAATGGAAAATAGTTACCTAATCATTCAAATATGGTTTCATAAAAGCTTTTTATAAAGAATGGGAAAGAACTATCCAGAAACAATATTTTTTAATGTTCAAAGACCGGTTACTAAAGGCCTTGATTATTGAATAGTTCTCTAAGGAGTGTTCTGAAGGTTTACGCTGGATGGTATGGTGGGATACTTGTAGTTGAAGTTGTAGATTGTCACAGCACACTGTCAAGAACCAAACTTAAAACAGTTATAGTAGCAGAAGAGCTTCCTTCACTCAGGGCTTTAGTTCCAACTCTTTAAATGAATTGTTAGTGCACTGGTGGCTTGAGTTTGAGGTATCTCATCAACTGGGAGTTTATTTAACTAGTAATTATTGAAACTAGGATGCTGTTCATTGGCTCTTAAACTCTGTATGTAATTTTTGTTACTGTATCACATGGTTTTCTCTAGATGTATCCCACAGAATACACTTTATGGATAGATTCTGTTAATCTCACTTTCCTAAAATCATTCTTTTTGAATCTCATGGATTTGTACATATTTTTCTCTGTACTTCTTTAAATTAAAGCACATTTTAGGATGCCTGGCTGGTTGAGTCAGTAGAGTATGTGACTCTTAGGGTGGTCAATCATGTGTGGCTTAGAATGTACTTAAAATCAGTTGTGGGTTTTTTGTTTTTTTGTTTTTGTTTTAATCTTGTTTCTGAGAAATGACTCAGATTGGTCTTTTTTCCTGCATCAGTGATTTTTAACTTGATAGTGAATAGATAAATTCATGTAATTTTAGCAGTTTCAGAGATCTTCACACATTCTAACACGGTGGTAGCCTGTTGGAAAATCAGTCCTTCTAGGAAAATCAGTCATAAGCAGGGAGAAACATCATCTTGAAATTTCATTGTAGATTAAAAAAAAAAAACGAAGCAGAAGAAAATAATTTCTGACACTTGAATGAAATTATAATGGGATTGCCTATTTAAACTGAGTTTGATAAATCCGTATTATACAGGGAGGAGGGAGTATTCTTATTAGATTGCTCTTCCCTATAAATTATATCACATTGTAGCTTTTATTCTTTTATTATTTTATTTAAGAGTACACAAGTGTGGGGGGGAGGAGCAGAGGGAGAGAGAAAAGCAGACTCCCTGCTGAGCTTAGAGGGTGTCATGACCCTGAGATGGAGTTCTGTGCTGAAAGTCAGATGTTTAACTTACTGAGCCATTTTTTTCTTTTTTAAGATTTTCATGGGCCTAGAATATCTGACAGTTGGTTTCCAGAACTACTGTTTCCTATTTGGTAATTAATAACACCTAAAATTATTTTTAATCCTTCTAAAAAATTTTTTTAAAGATTTTATTTATTTATTTGGCAGACAGAGATCACAAGTAGACAGGGAGACAGGCAGAGAGAGAGAGAGAGAGGAGGAAGCAGGCTCCCTGCTAAGCAGAGAGCCTGATGTGGGGCTCGATCCCAGGACCCTGAGATCATGACTTGAGCCAAAGGCAGAGGCTTAACCCACTGAGCCACCCAGGCGCCCCTAATCCTTCTAAATTTTTAAGACAGGAAGTAGGTATGGTATAGTAAATATATTCAGGAGAATGCAGATTTTCACTATACATTCTAGTTGTTTCGACTTTGGTAGTGATGAAGTCTAAGTCTGAATCAGGGTTTTTGAGACCCAAAGGTCGCTGTTCTATCTAATCATCTAAGAAACTTGTCTTTGTAAACTTTGATTTTATTTTTAAGTAATTTCTACACCCAACATAGGGCTCGAACTTAACAACCTCAAGATCAAGAGTTGTGTTCTCTGCTGACTGCCAGCCAGGCATCTCTGTAAACTTGTTTTTAGTAACTTGCAGTGCTTAAGTTTTTGCTTTGAGATTAAGACAGTTTCTTTTTCTTAACCTCTTCAGATAATTAGCTAGCTAACGTGCCTCCACAGTTTTTTAATTTCTTTAAAATGGTATTTAAATGACTTTTTTAATTCAGGCTAGATTTTATACCAACACTTAATGTCCAGATTTCTCATTTAGAGTGCAGTCATAATTCTCGGGATTTAGTGTTTGTTCCTTTGTTAACAATGAAACTTTCATGAAGACTTTTTAATGACTTGAGCTTTATCACTAGGGGGTCAGCACATGCTACTTACCTTGATAAGCAAGTAGCTAATTCTTGAAGCTGTAGTATTTCCTATCCCTTTGACCTTGAGTGTTGTCACAGTAGGCAAGGTTTTCATGTTTTCCCAATCATGCACTTTGACATTTTACAAGGAAGGTTTACTTAAACTTCATTAGGGGAATCTTTGTGAGTTTTTCAAGAGCCCATTTTTGCTTGAGCAGCAGCTAAGTTCCTGGCACTGAATGCCCTTTAGCACTACCACTTGGTCCTCCGAAAAATTTGTTTTTCTTCTGAAAACTAGAGCATTTGACTTCCATTTATATTCATGGGGCCATTACATAGATTCAAAACAAACTGCATTTCTTTCTTTTTTCTTTTCCCAAAGATTTTATTTATTCACTTGACAGAGATCACAAGGAGGCAGAGAGGCAGAGAGAGAGGAAGGAAAGCAGGCTCCCTGCCAAGCAGAGAGCCTGACGTGGGTCTTGATCCCAAGACCCTGGGATCATGACCTGAGCCAAAAGCAGAGGCTTTAACCCACTGAGCCACCCAGGTGCCCCACAAACTGCATCTCTTGCCTCATTTTCATTGTGCCAGTTTAGCTGCATCAGATGAAATTGTATGGTTCAAAAGGAAGTTCCAGTGCCCACAAGTACAGGGAATGTGGAATGGCAGGATCATTAGTTTAGAGACTGGGGCCAGTGCCAGTGCCAGTGAATGGATTGGTTGGGAAGGGGTAGTTTGTATCTTTGAATCCAACGGGATTAGGTCATGAGATGTTTCATGCCCAAGTTTGGATAACTCACCTTCATTTACCTCCAGAAATTGCTTTTAAATAACATCATCTAGCACAAAGAAGAGTGGTTTCTGAATTATTTAATATTTTAAGTTAACAGTTTTTGAATTATTATACTGTGGGAAATTAATGGGCCAAAAGAAGAAAAGCTTTATGTATGGAAAGTAGTGGTGATAATAAAACATTAGTCTAAGTATCTTTTTTGTTTGTGTTAATTCCCATAAACCATGCCAAACTGACAAATTAACAACTCACTTAAAATTTGTCTGCTACAGGACACCTGAGTGGCTTAGTTGGTTAAGCATCTGCCTTCAGTTCAGATCATTGGGATTGAGTCCCACATCAGTCTCCTTGCTCATTCAGAGTTCCTGCTTCTCCCTCTTGGCTGGTGCTCACTCTCTCTCTTTGGCAAATAAAATCTTTTTTTTTTTTTAATTTAAGATTTTATTTATTTATTTGACAGAGATCACAGGTAGGCAGAGAAAGAGGAAGGGAAGCAGGGTCCCTGTTGAGCAGAGAGCCGGATGCGGGGCTCCATCCCAGAAAAGAAGTATTGGGAAGAAAGAAGTATAATTTTCACTGCTTAAGTGAAAATTATAAACTAGTACACTCATTTGTTTGTCAGTGTACCACGTGTTCCTTCTTAGTTTAGGAATATGTTCCCGTCATAGCTACTTCTGGGAAAAAATAACTTACTGCTATATTAAAGTAGGATGGAAACGTTTTAGATTAAGTTGGGTTGAGAAAGTTAATTGTCACTACCTAGAGGATTGGAGACTTAAAAATTCAGAGATTAGTCACTGATGAGATATCTTGGAGACTAGTTATAGAGATGAATTACAAATTTTTAAGGCTTTGTAATACATCACTTTAGGCAGAGCAGCAGGTTTTAGGTAATTTTTGTAGACTAATACCTTGGAATTAAGGGCCTTGGAATTAAATTAGTTACTAAAAGGTACAGAACAAAATTGAAGGATTTTTTTTTTTCCCAGTGGTAGATCTTACTTTCTTGTGCTGCCAATCTCTTGTAAAATAATAAAGGAATGTAGAGGTTTTCTAGAACTGTTACTCATGTAAGAAGATTTTTTGTAACACTTTGAATTTTCTCTTTACAAATAAGTCAATACCAAGCCATCACTTTGAGGTATATCGTTAGCAGTCACTGGGATACTCCTCCAGAGGAAGCAGCAGTTAAGCAACCAGTGAATGTGAGCTGAATGTGTGCTGGGCAGTGGATTTAGGCATTAGTGAATAGCAAACAAAACACAGTATTCCTCATCCTGCTGGAATTGGAACTATGAGTGCATCCTCTGCTTAAATGTTGTTAGAATGGATTATGGCTTTTATACACTACCAACACGTGTGAATGGCTCTTAGTACCAACTATCCGTTCTATATGGTTCAATTCAGTATGACTACTAATAGTAATAATTTATTTCTGTACTCACCATAATTTATTTCTATATAATAATTTATTTCTATACTCCCCAAATACATACATACTCACTCTGTGTACTCTGTACATTATTTATTTATTTCTATACTCATCAAATTTAGCTCACCATAAATAACCACTGTTTGCAGATTCCATTAATTGCAATCCATTTTTCTGAGTACTTTATTTGGAATTGTTTTCTAAGTTTTATTTATTTATGATTATTACATCATATATGGAGTAAAATTTAAAAATATATATGTAGTCTATTCATTGTACAAAGTAATACTAATACTGCCAGAGTACAGAGGAACTTGGATGTTCATCCCTTAAGGCCAACCATCATTGGTTATGCATGTGTGTATGTAGTAGTTTCTTGAAGTAGCGGCTGTATTGAAAGCAAAAGAAGGAAGGCTTTTACTGGACCTTGGAATAAAATTAGCAAAAAGATACAAATTGGTAGACAACATTAATTTATTATTTTTTAAGGGCACTGATGGAGCTTGCTGACTTAATTTTAGTTGTGAAGGACGTCTGTTTTCCTTTTATCCAATAGGATGTATAGTTACCCAGCACGTGTTCCTCCTCCTCCTCCTATTGCTCGGGCTGTAGTTCCTTCAAAACGCCAGCGTGTATCAGGAAACACCTCACGAAGAGGCAAAAGTGGCTTCAATTCTAAGAGTGGACAGCGAGGATCTTCTTCCAAGTCTGGAAAGTGTATGTATTACTGCAGTTTTGTGATTCTGCTACTTGTGTGTTGTTGAAATAGGGAAATGAATGCAGTTAGTAATGTTCAGGTTTTATACTAATGGCTTTGTGTAATCAAAATAATGGAAGAAAAGATAGTGATTAAGGGGCCAGTTAAAGTATTCGATTTAGGGAGCTAGTAAGCGCTTAAAAATTTACGAAGTGTGTAAGTCAAGTCAAACAGTACAAAAAGTGCTTTCAAATATAATTGAGATCTTCAGTAGGCCTACAGAAGTAAGAATACTGTTGCTAAGGGAGTAGGCACATTAGATTCAGTTTTTAGCTACCAACTAAGTGATCCCCATGACTGGGACAGTATGATCCTGGCTCCATTTGTCCCCTAGGATCCCCTCTGGCTATTGCCTTGTGGTTTAGTTGGAAATGTGTTCGGCATCTGGTAACTTCTGGTAGAGTTGATCCTAATACAGAGTTCTGTTTGTATTAAAGTGAAAGGTGATGACCTTCAGACCATTAAGAAGGAGTTGACCCAGATAAAACAAAAAGTGGATTCTCTACTGGAAAGCCTGGAAAAAATTGAGAAAGAACAGAGCAAACAAGGAGGTAAATGGCCTTGCAGCTTGTTGGGTGTAAATTTGGGTTAGTTACCGAAGATAGTTGAAGGTACATGTTGGAATAGTGGGGTATAAAGCAATTGAATATGAAACTTGGGGAATTTGAATTGGGAAGGGCATTTGTGTGGGAGGATTTAGATTTGTGCTGCAGTTCTGTGATCATTAATGGGGATTGTCTACATCCTGTGGACATTACTTGCCCCTAGACAGACTTGTCCTTCTCATCCCCAGTAGAGATGAAGAATGATAAGTCAGAAGAGGAGCAGAGCAGCAGCTCCCTGAAGAAAGATGAGACTAATGTGAAGATGGAGTCTGAGGGGGGTGCAGATGACTCTGCTGAGGAGGGGGACCTACTGGATGATGATGATAATGAAGATCGGGGGGATGACCAGGTGAAAACCACGGGAAAGGAAAGAAAGAGGTGGTGGAGGGGGGAGCAGGGACACATGGAGTGCCTCTAACTCCATCCTATTTGTGTCTGTTTCTCACAGCTGGAGTTGATCAAGGATGATGAAAAAGAGGCTGAGGAAGGAGAGGATGACAGAGACAGCGCCAATGGCGAGGATGACTCTTAAGCACATAGTGGGGTTTAGAAATCTTGTCCCATTATTTCTTTACCTAGGCGCTTGTCTAAGATCAAAATTTTCACCAGATCCTCTCCCCTAGTATCTTCTTCAGCACATGCTCACTGTTCTCCCCATCCTTGTCCTTCCCATGTTCATTAATTCATATTGCCCTGCGCCTAGTCCCATTTTCACTTCCTTTGATGCTCCTAGTAGTTATGTTAAGTCTTACCCTGTAATTTTTGCTTTTAATTTTGATACCTCTTTATGACTTAACAATAAAAAGGACGTGTGGTTTTTATCAACTGTCTCCAAAATAATCTCTTGGTATGCAGGGAGTACAGTTCTTTCCATTCATACATGAGCTCAGTAGTTGCTTCCCTAACTGCAAAGGCAATCGCATTAGTTGAGTAGCACCTGAGAGCAGCTTTGAGTTAGAGGTATGTGTGTTTTACCCCACATAAGAGGGCTATGTGGGGCTGTTCAACACAAATGTAACAATGTATTTTTGTGAATGAGAGTTGGCATGTCAAATGCATCCTCTAGAAAAATAATTAGTGTAATAGTCTTAAGATTTGTTTTCTAAAGTTGATACTGTGGGTTATTTTTGTGAACAGCCTGATGTTTGGGACCCTTTTTTCTCAAAATAAACAAGTCCTTATTAAACCAGGAGTTTGGAGAAAAAAAAAAACCTGGTTTTTTATTTTTGTATTTTATAATTGTTTATTTCAAATTCTTTGTTTCACAGCGGCCTCCACAAAAACGCTAGAGTGTACTAAATATATTTTTCTCTGAGTCATTCTTCACTCATACGAACATACACTACTCAAATGATATGTCATTGGGGTGGGTATTGCTTTGATGTGGAGTGGAGATTCTTGTGCAGAATGGCTTTTCGATCCTAATGAAAAGGTTTGGGAACAATATTAAGATATTTCATTAATGTTTTGTGGTCCATTTGGCACCCTTCTTGCGATTTTTATTGTGTGCTAAATCGTTTTGTCCTTAAATAGAAGAGGTTCGAACATGTCAGGATTTTAGGAAAATTAGAAACAACTGGAGAATGAACCTCTGTTACTTTCATTTTATCCTTTTAATTGCTATTTAGAGTCGCAGTTACTTTTGGATTCTGAGTCTGTGCCTCCAAGTTCTTAAAAATAGAAAAGCTTGCTCTTCTATGCTCTTAGTTTATACCTTCCCAGGTGACTGAGAACATTTACTTTCAATTAGTTTAATCCATATAAATAATTTTTGTTCCTTTCTCCTGTGTGATTAATTTCAGTGGTTTTTGTTTTGTTTTCTTTATTTGTTTTTTGTTTTTTGTTTTGGTCATGATACTAAATTAGCACCTAGACTTCTACAGATGGATTTATTAAACAGCTTCTAGATTTGTTACACTTGCCTAACTAATCCTGAAAGGTCTGGTTTATGTTTTTATACTTGTTTCCAGCAGAGCAGGATAAGAACATGGCTAGTTCGGACTATTTACCATTCACACAAACCTTGGATTCCCCAGAAAGTTGCTGTTTCATAGCATGCAACAAAGGCATTTATATCCAACCTACTGTGGGCAGAAGTCCTGTCCCTATTTATTAAGATCTCAAAAAATCATTTTATATAACACGTGACAAAACAGAAGGAAGAGGCTAAACTCTGAACCTCTTGGACCCCACATCCATAGTACAGAAGTAGCTTTTGTGGGTTAATTTGGTCAAAAATACTTCTACCCCCCACTTTGTTTTCTGATATTACATGATTTCATGTTACACAAACTCACTTTAAGCACATAATCCCCAAAATAAGCTGGATGCTTAGAAGAAAGGGTTAAGGTTCCAAGATGTTAATAAACCTTTTTAAGATCATAATGTTAGCTATCAGCAACTAAAAGATGCTGGACCAGTTAAGCCATGCATGAAAGGGTCTACACTTTTAATTTCATATGAAACCAAGTATTGAAAGAAACTGGAAAGCTTAAAGGATACAGTCATGTGCTCTTCAAAAATGTATACACACACGCAAGGTTATTGATAAAATGCTGACATTTCTAGTGTGTCTTGATGGGGGAAGAGTAATTTCACACTGTATGTCTCAGGCTATTAGGAGTTCAATTTCCTCGTGGAAGTAAAAGAACAGTACTGTAAGATTTCTGTAATCCTAGGTTATACTCTTAAAATACTTTGAAATTCAGAATCCTAGGCCAAAGCTTAGAGAAAAGGAAACATGACTGAAATAGCATATAGTTCTGTATCTTGCAAGCTGATGAAATGCAGATATTACAAGTTTTTTAAAAAAAGAGATCATTGTCTTAAAGACCATTGGTCTAATAAAGGCTTATATAGTCATTGTTAACATCATTTAACTCTGGGCCCCAGGAAAAGAGATTGGAATAGGTTCAATAGAAATAGAGGCAGAGAGGGCATGGGCTCTGTGGTTTAGCAGTGGGTTGGCAGAGCAGGTGAGGTTGAAAAGCTTGACAGTTTGAGAGACAGCTAATTTTTTAGAGGAAATTTCTGAGTAACTTGACAATCTCAAAAGAGCAGGCCTTAAGCTATTTAGTAGAAATAAGATTTATCACAGTAAAATACGGTGATGGCTTTGTTGGGTATTAAAAATTTCAGAATAACGGTTTATCCAATATGCCCAGGAAATATAAGAAAATAACCTGGAAGCTTTTAAAGAGTGCACTGTCCAGCCAGGATTGGATGAAGAAAGTAGATGACTTAAATCCCGTTGGAACATTTCTGATGCTACATAATTTTTAATGGGGAGAGTTCTGTGGCATTCACTGGCAAAGGTACTTTTTTTACTTTTGCTATTTCACTAGTGAAAGCTAACTTAAAGCTGTTGGATTGGAATGGGTGACAAATTTGGAACGCTTGAAAAGAGGGGTCCCAATAGATTTCAGATGTCACCCCAACATCTGCAGCCTGTAAGGATTAGTAGTGCTAGTCAGTACATGTTTTAAAGTCTCTTAACAGACACAACTAGGTGTAAGAGAATGGGAAAATGCAAACAAGAACAATAGAATTATGGTAAATTGGAAAGGAATCAAATGAGTATTGAGAATGTAATGGAAGGAAAGGTAGATCAAAAATACGCATCATTAAAGCCATACAGTAACTATAAAATACCAGTAAAGGAATCTAGTGAATAACTTAGCAGCAGTATGTTGATTCAAAAGTGTAAGTAGCTAGGGGAAGCAAAGCCTTGCAGGTCTGATATGCAAAGTAAAAAAATGGAACTGCTGAGACACTATACTTAGCAAACATCAGTGGTTTTAGGGAACCTGGATGATACGGTGGGATGTGTTGTGGAAGTAGTTGGGAAATAGGAAGGGAAATAGGGAAATAGCTAGGTATTTATTTTTAGGAGAGTGAGAAAACAGCATCATTGATTGTGGCCTTGGAGAATAAAGGATTTAGCCAAAGAAGTTGATCTTTTTATTTAACTTGAGGAAAATTCACCTGTACCACTGTCAAAATGGGGTTTGAGTTTCTATACCCTAGTTAGATCACACTGACCAAGGAAATGCATTTCAGTTGAGTTTTAGATGGATAAGGAAAAAGTACAGTGATACCTTGAAGCCAGTTAAAAATAGTAAACACAGATCTCACAGAAATGGGAGTGACCAGTAAGCGAGCTACATACGATATGTATAGAATTGGCTGGTAAGTAACTATAGTGACTCGTTTGCTTTATCAATGCTGTTTCTCGTAGAGAACAGGTACCATTTATATGGTGTTATTTGATGAATAAGGGGCTTTTCTCTTGAAGAATTTCTAGTGTTTAGAAAGACCCTGGGATAAAGTAAAAATTGGGCCAGCTAAATAGTACAGAAAAAGCTAGATTTACATGTAAACCTGACTGGGATGACAGAATTCCAAATGTTTAGAGAGGAGAATAAATTAGGGGTGTTGGAAAATTACATGTTTGAATTTCAGTTAATCAAATTAATCCTAATCAGGAAGGCCTCAAAAGAACGTGTGGTGGCATTAGTAACTTTCAAATTAATTTAAAAAAAAAAAATAGTCCTATTACAAAAAATGGGGCCTGTGTAGAGAGTTGGAGTTAAAAGCCCTGTTTGAGCTGGGGTGGACTTCTCCCCAACCTTAAGTCAGAACTACAATAGAAGGGATAGTGTAATGGGGTCGCCAAAAAAAAAAGTAGCTGCTTAATAGGAGTAGAAGCCCAAAATTTTTATGTGTCACACAAAGGAGAAGTTGAGGGAAATAAAAATGTTCTGAAGATTTAACAAAAATTTGCTTGTGCAAAATGACTTTTAAGAAGCTTTTCATAAACCTAAAGTTATTAAAAATAATTCAGTATGTTAAATGAGTTGTCAGGTGGATCTCAGCTTCAGTTGTACATGAGAATTACCAAGGGAGCTTTAAAAATCTTGACATCCAGGTGTGCACTCCAGACCAATTAAATCTCTGCAGTTGGGACTCTTGACAATAACTTTCAGTTTGCTAGCAATAAGGGGAACACCTGCACCAAGAGGCAAAAAGTGCCCTTTCCAAGGTGAATAAGGTAGAAGGGAGCAATTAGAACTTTCAGAGAGGGTGTCTTGAGTGACTGCCTAATAAGTTAGTAAAGAATGTTCATGTCCTATGTTAAGTGGTTTAAAACAAGTGCTTACAGTAAGAAAAAGCATGGTGGCTATGCTTTATTTAAAATGAGAGCATCTGGTGAAAGGGTGAGCCTGTGCCTCCCTTGAAATCTGTGGCCAAAGTATAGAAAGCACTGATGGGGAGGTGTCTGGGTAGGGTTAAAAGATGAGAAAAGCTAGGGTTGAGGGAGAGAGAAAGTCTTTGTTCTCTGAGGTTATAAGAAAACGTCTTAAAGCCCAACATTATCCATCCACCACTCCCAACTATTGCACTATAGAACTTCCTGTGATGGAAGTATTTCATAATGCATTAACTAATGTGCTAGCCCTCTCGCTGCTGAGCCTTTGAAATGTGGCTAGTGTGACTAAGTAATTGGATTTTTCAGTTTTGTTTTTAATCTGAATAATGTGGCTATCTTATTGGATAGTGTAGTGCTACAAAATGAGCAGTTTCCAAAAAGTACAGATACTGATAAGCTAGCTGTATGTAACTTAGGTGAACAAATGTGACTTTCCGAGGTGTTTCGTGTCCTGAGTTCATGGAAAGTGTTTCTAGGCCCTAGACCTCAACATCAAAGACTTCTTAGAACATCCCTAGACTAACATGGAATACTTGACTAGTAGGACATCTACAGCTACAGGCATAGTCTGTGTTACCCTCATTTAGCAGTGTTTCTTGGAAAATAATTTTTTTTTTTTTAATAAAATCTTAAGTGGGAACCCATCTTGTCAGTGGGTGCCCAAGGCTCAAGGAAGATATAGGTTGTAGATGCGTCCAAGAATGCTGCTGGGCAAGCATTTAGGATAAAATCTTAGTTGATTTTCACACGACCCTGTTACGTATGTATGGAAGTAATTCCTAAGTTTTCAAAGAGTGCCAAAGTGCATTGTTGAAAGCCCCATAGATAATAAATGGTAGAGCCAACATTGCAGCCTGTAATCTGGCTTAACCATTGATTCTGGACCTAAGGAGAGGAAATGGTATCTTGATAGCTGAGCTTACATCCTGAACCCCCAAAGATGATACAAATATCTCCAAAGCATGATAATAGACTAGGGTCCCAGCACCTTTTCTTAAATTC